CACAGAGCATTGTCAGGTAAGCTCTGTACCCTCACCTGCCAGGAGGTAGGTTGTGCAGGTGGAGGAGCCCCAGGGTATTTCAGAGGATGTCAGCGCATTTTCTGGGGTAAACCAGCTTGTTAGTAGAACAGTCCAAGACTTGGATTTAGATTTTCTGACTCAAAAGTCAAGCTGGCTCCTCAGGATGGTTTTAAGATCAGGGTTTAGAGACCTGGCAGACGGAAGGGAAGTCTTGGGTAACACTCTCCTTTATTTACTCCTATTTGCTTCTTCTCCAGACTATTTATGTAGAATTTCCAGAACATATGGTATGGCTTTTGATGTTTTTCATCAGGTTGAGCTTTGATTTCTAACTTTTCTTCCTCCTGTTTCAGGCTTATCCAGTCTAACCCAACTTACATAGTACAGTCGGCCCTTTGTATCTGTGGGTTCCGCATCTGTGAATTCAACTAACTATGGTTTGAAAATATATATTTTTTAAAACATTGCGTCGGCTGGGCACAGTGGCTCATGCTAGGATTATAAATCCTAGCACTTTGGGAGGCCGAGGCAGGTGAATCACTTGAGATCAGGAGTTTAAAATCAGCCTGCTGAACATGGTGAAACCCCATCTTTACTAAAAATACAAAAAATTAGCCGGGTGTGGTGGCATGTGCCTGTAATTCCAGCTACTTGGGAGGCTGAGGCAGGAGAGTTCCTTAGAACCCGGGAGGTGGAGGTTGCAATGAGCCAAGATTGTGCCACTGCACTCCAGCCTAGGCGACAGAGTGAGACTCTGTCTCAAAAAAAAAAAAAAAATACATCTGTAGTGAACATGTACAGACTTTCTTCTTGTCATTTCCTAAATAATACAACAACCATTTACCTAGGATTTACATTGTATTAGGTAAGTAATTTGGAGATGATATAAAGTGTATGGGTAGATGTGCATAGCTTATATGCAAATACTATACCATTTTATAGAAAGGACTTAAGCATCCTTGAATTTTGGTTTCCATGGAGGATTCTGAACCAATCCCCACTGCTAGCGAGAGACCACTGTATCATTGCCTTTGCTTTCGTATGTATTTCTTTTCTTTATTTTATTTTTGATAACTTTAATATTATTAAAGGTTTACAAGTTCATTTCATTCAGACTCGATCTTAACTGTCCTCTGACCATGTTCAAGTCTACTTTGATGCCATTCTAGGTAGTAACACATAGTTGTTATCATAAAGATGAGGCCATCTTTTCTTAAACCAAAATAAATTCCAGCTAAATCAAATAGTTAAGTATAAAAATGCAGCCATAGCACACTAGAAGAAAAGTAAGAATGGCTTTTATGATATTGGTGTGTTCTAATCTTCACCTAAAGGCCAGGAGCATAGGAAGAAAATGCTTTCGTTTGACAACATAAAGACTTAAAGTTCTATACAGCAAAACATTCGTATTAAGCAAGGTTGAAAGACAAGTGGCAAGCTGAGCAAACTCTGATAAAGGGTTAATATTTGTCTCATGCAAGGAAACACCACCAAAAGACAAAAATGATTAAACAACAACGGAAGAATGGAGAAGGGAAACATAGAGTGGACCAATAAATACATGAAAAGATATTTAACTAGAGGAAGAATTCAAGTAATGCAAATAAAAATGAGGTCATTTTTTAATCCATTAGATGGATGAAGATTAAAGAAAGGTCAACAAAACCCAATATTGACACTGGGTGGGAGAGCAGGCACCCTCCTGAACTTACAATAATTGGTACAGCTTTTCTTTTTTTTTTTTTTTTTGAGATGGAGTCTCGCTGTGACTCCCAGACTGGAGTGCAGTGGCGCAATCTCGGCTCACTGCAAGCTCCGCCTCCTGGGTTCACACCATTCTCCTGCCTCAGCCTCCCGAGTAGCTGGGACTACAGGCGCCTACCACCAAGCCCGGCTAATTTTTTTGTATTTTTAGTGGAGACAGGGTTTCACCGTGTTAGCTAGGATGATCTTGATCTCCTGACCTTGTGATCCACCTGTCTCGGCCTCCCAAAGTGCTGGGATTACAGGCGTGAGCCACTGCGCCCGGCCTGGTACAGCTTTTCTGCTGGGCAGTTTGGCAGCATGCATTGCAACTTAAAATATGCATACACTTTGACCCAGCAGTTTCACATCTAGGGATTCCTTTTAGAGATCTGTGTGGAGGGTTATTTGACACAGAGTCGTTAATTGTGCAAAATTAAATGAAACATAAATATTCCCTGGTGTCAATAGTACTTAAACATCTTTAGGCTTACATGGTGGAATATTTCAAGGTACTTGTTAATCTAAATTGACTGGGATGATGTCCATGACACATGTTTGAGTAGCAAATTATAGACAGGCAGGGTATATAACGGAAACCCCTTGGTATTACAATGTGTCTCTCTCACTGTGGGTTTCTGTGCACATAAGTGAGAACCTGGAATAATGGTACCCTGAAATCATCAATATGTTACCCATGCTCATCCTTGGATGATGAACTCAGGGTTATTTTGACTTTCTTTTATATTTCTGTATATACATCTGTGTGCATGTGTATGAGTTCAAAGTGAGCATGTATCATTTTTAAAATTGGAAACTTAATTTAAAATTAAGTGTGAATCTCCAAGAAGGGGAATGTACAGAATGTTGCAGGAATATGTGGTCGGTAGGGAGTTGGGAGCAAGGACCTATGTAGGATACCCACTAAAGGCATCTCTACTCCTTTACATGAGTGCAGAACCCTGTTGCAAAGGAGAGGAAAGCCTTGCCCATGCTTTCGAGGAGAGCCATGACCTTGAGGTAGCTTGAGTGGGTGGCTGTGATCAAATGAACTGGGTGGGGCTGACCCAGTTCTGTTTTTGTACCTGGTACAGCTGCACCCTTTTTGCATATATCTGCCTTGCTCTCTAAAGCAAGGTCATGCATGGGCTTCCTCTCTTTACCAGTCATTTCCCCTTCTAGTACATTTTGTCCAAGGCATGGTCTGTCTGTAACCTTGTTTCATTGGTGGTCAGGTAGAATTGGGTTGGGTCAGCCTAAATCTAATCTTATAAAACCAAAGACTTTGTTTAGTTAATTCAAATCATCTTAGAAGATACAAGGCTGCTGTTTTTTATATGCTTGATTGTAACGTTCCTGGGATTTTGTTTCCCTTTTTTTTTTTTTTTTTTTTTTGAGACAGGGTCTTGTTCTGTCACCTGGGCTGGAGTACAGTGGCACGATCTCAGCTCACTGCAGGCTCAACTTTGTTCCTGGGGTTTCTACTTTGTCTTTTTCTGTTCTCTATTTCTCAAGGTCATGGACTGTGTGCTTTTAAATTTTTTTCTTGTGATCCTTTTCATTGCTTAATTCAGTAATATAGGTGGCATTTAGTAAACATTGACAAAATGATGAAATAAGTAAGGTCAAGGATGGGCCTCTTTACAGATGACTTTTTTTTTTTCTTTTTTAAGAAAGCAGAACTGGTTCTTCCCAGATAGAGGAAAGCAGAACTGCTTTGCATTGCTGTAGGGTGCTGGAGGTGCTGCAGATGGATCCTCCCCTGAGCTAGAAGTAGAGTACCCTCTGTTCCCTCTCTTGCCAGTTTTTGTCCCTTGTAGCAGAGGGACTGCTGTGGATGTGGAGCGGAGCAAAGGCTTTTCCAGTCTTCTTTACTTTTATATTTTTTGAGATGGAGTCTCACTCTCGCATAAGCTGGAGTGCAGTGGTGTGATCTCAGCTTACTGCAGCCTGCACCTCCTGGGTTCAAGCAGTTCTCTACCGCAGCCTCCCGAGTAGCTGGGATTACAGGTGCCCGCCATCGTGCCCGGCTAATTTTTGTATTTTTAGTAGAGATGGGGTTTCACCGTCTTGGCCAGGCTGGTCTTGAACTCCTGACCTTGTAATCCACCTGCCTTGGCCTCTGAAAGTGCTGTGATTACAGGCGTGAGCCACCGCACCCGGCCTTTCCTGCCTTCTTTAAACCAGCCTGTGCTGTAGTCACTGAGGACACCTTTTAGTTTAGCTGACCCCTGGGCCCTGTCGGTGAAGTCTTTGAGTTTGACACTGAACTATGGTGAAACTTTCAGAACACCCAGGATATCATGACTTGACCATCACCCTCTAGAATGGAATGTTTTTAGTCATGTTTTCTTGGTTTGTTGAAAGTTTGAGGGAAGCCTGTGAACAATAAAATCCTGTTTCAATTGTACATGAGCTGGGACAAGTGGGAAAGAGGTCAGCAGATCTTTCTTCTGCTCTGTCACCTTAGGCCTTGTCTTTGAAAGCTGGACTGCTTTGACAGTGCTGCGGTTGCCGTGGCTTCTGACACCAGCTTGAATGAACTTGCAATAATGACATAAATGTGTCATGGTGTGCCGTCACTGAAAAAGTACACGTGGCCAGGCTCAGTGGCTCACGCCTGTAATCCCAGCACATTAGGAGGCCGAGGCAGGCAGATCATGAGGTCAGGAGATCGAGACCATCCTGGCTAACATGGTGAAACCCGGTCTCTACTAAAAATACAAAAAAAAAAAAAGAAAAAATTAGCCGGGTGTGGTGGTGGACGCCTGTAGTCCCAGCTACTTGGGAGGCTGAGGCAGGAGAATGGCGTAACCCAGGAGGCAGAGCTTGCATTGAGCCGAGATCACACCACTGTACTCCAGCCTGGGCGACAGAGTGAGACTCCGTCTCAAGAAAAAAAAAAAAAAAAAAATATATATATATATATGTATATATAGTCACCATATTAAATGATCATGTAGCCTTAAACCGCCTAGATTTTCCAATTAAATTAAACTACTCATTATCTCTTATTATGTGACCAATAAAGTGTGCAGTTGTGGCTTACTTTGCAAGTGGGATTAATATCTACTGTTTATCTCAAGATAAGTATTAGTAACATAACCTGGGGAAACCTTTTTATGCACCTTTCCAGAGCAAGGGAGAGGAGGACTAAAGTGTTAGAGGTATGAAGTTGTACCTTTCTAAACTGATGGTGAAGTATTCTAAACATTTGTATGGCTTTGTCTTTATAGACTGAAATCGCCAAGAGATTGAATACGATTTGTGCACAAGTCATCCCATTTCTGTCTCAGGAAGTAAGTAAAACTGTTCAGCTGTTAAAGTGCAATTATGTTGCTTCTCTGTTTGCAAATTAGCTAGTTTTAAGATGTTAATTTTATCACAAGGAACAAGTGTGAAGAACATCTGTTACAGCTGAAGTGTGTAAACCCCCTGCTAGTCTATCCAGCACATCTGAGGGCACACTGTGGAAATGGTGACAATAGCTCAACCTCCAAATTAATTTTTTTTCCTCTGGAAAACTGCAAGATGACTATCCAATGTATAGTTTTGCTTTCTTTTTTTTTTTTTTTTTTCTGAGACGGAGTCTCGCTCTGTCGCCCAGGCTGGAGTGCAGTGGCCAGATCTCAGCTCACTGCAAGCTCCGCCCCCCGGGTTCACGCCATTCTCCTGCCTCAGCCTCCCGAGTAGCTGGGACTACAGGTGCCCACCACCTCACCCGGCTAGTTTTTTGTATTTTTAGTAGAGACGGGGTTTCCCCATGTTAGCCAGGATGGTCTCGATCTCCTGACCTCGTGATCCACCCGTCTCGGCCTCCCAAAGTGCTGGGATTACAGGCGTGAGCCACCGCGCCCGGCCAGTTTTGCTTTCTTTAAGTAGCATAAGCTTGAGAGCTACTGAAAATTCAGGTGTCCTTTTTATCTTTTAAATAGAAAGCTGTTCTCATACTGACTTTTAAAAATGGTTCCATCAAGGTAGACTTTACTAGGGAAGCAGGTAGTTCTTTTGTACTTACGTATCAAGGCAGTTGTCTTAATACTGTCATTGAAGGGGCAGATGATAATAGTCCAAAATACATTAACTTACTGAGTCATATGCATGTGTAAGCTATTTTGTTTAGTTACAAAGTCATAGAAGTTTAATCTTAACATTCTTTGAGGGGGGAAATCTCTTCATATGAGTAATCTATGAAATTGACTCAGGACTATTGTATTTTAGCTTTGCCTTGAAAAGTTTACCTTCCTTTTGGATATAAGCTAGTAAATGCTGTAATGTGTTCTAAGTGTGCATGGGATGAATGCGTCTTCACACAGGGTGGAAAGCTTATTGGCCCGGGAGTTGGAATACTGGGTATCCTGGTTGGCATCTGTTGCTCCATGCTGGATGGTCACCATCTCGTTATTGTCGTAACAGCCTCTTCCAGTATAACCTTTGTCTGTCTGATATGACAGTAGATTTGTCTGCCGTTTGAATGTATTAGTAGTTGTTAGACTTTAGTGATCCAGGGCTCTATGTTACATTCGCATGCCTCCCAAAGTAAATGTATGGCTGTGTTTTTATTTGTGGGTGGAGTTGGGAGTTGGGAGGTGTGGGGTGAGTTTCCATCTCTGAACTGAGGCTGGAGTCCTTCCTTTGCCTTGTGGAGGGTGAAGAATCAAAAGGCTGTAAAAGAGTGAGAGGAATTCCAGGAGTTTCCGAAAATGACTGGGGGGTCAAGGTTGATTGATCAGACAAGTGATCAACAGATTTAATGTTAAAGTTTTAGGTATTAAAATGGGTATTTTATTTATTTATTTTAAAAATAGAGGTTTCACCATGTTGCCCACGCTGGTCTTGAACTCCTGGGCTCACCCCGTCTTGGCCTCCCAAAGTGCTGGGATTACAGGCATGAGCCACTGCGCCCGGCTGTAAAACGAGTATTTTAAAATTGCTGTGAACTTATGGCCAAACTTATCATGGTGAACCTCTTCTGTGAACAAGGACGATCTTCCAAATTCTGTTCTATTTATTTTTTAAGGTCCTGTGTTGTCATTCTTTATGTCCTTTTTTGTTTTCTGCCATTCCAAGCCAAAATTTGCAGCCAGAAGTAGTGACTGGTGTTGTTTAGAAATAAAGGGCACTGCCATTCTCAGTTTTTCCCTGTGTTCTGTGAAAATAATGTGTGGTTGAGAAATTCCGCGTTTAAACCCCTCTACTTCAGCCTGCATTGCGCACAGCATTTGACTTTTTGTTGTTAGAATATACAGTGAAGTTCTTGGCTGTTGCTAATGCCCTTTCTTCTCCTTGTTTTCAAAGCATCAACAACAGGTGGCCCAGGCTGTCGAACGTGCCAAACAGGTGACCATGGCAGAGTTGAATGCCATCATCGGGGTACGTGGCCTACCAGGTCTACCTCCTACAGTGTGTATAACCAGCTTTCATTTCTTATTAATTTGATGGCTTTATATATATGTGTGTGTGTGTGTATTTGTGTAGCTTAACGTTGACCTATTTGATAAGGGTGGGAGGAAGAGACTTGGGGTGTGCTAAGGTGTATGGAGGAAGAGGGCTTAGCGTAAGGAAGATGACAGGAGAAGTATTTTAGGAGGGGACAAAAAATAAACCTATTAATTAAAAACATTCTTTTCAAACAGACCGGGGTCTTGATATTTTGTCTAGTCTGGCCTGGAACTCAAGTGATCCTCCTGCCTTAGCCTCCTGAGTAGCTGGGTCCGAGGGCAGGCACCCCCTTGCCCGTCCTTAAATCTACTTTGAAGTGGGAAAATAAATGTAGTTCATCCTGTGACACGTAAACCACCCTTGCTTCATTAGTCTAGTAAAAGCTTTAGGTTAGAACTTTAAATACTTTCCTCACTTCTGTCTTACAATGTGAGATCACAGTGAGGTCAAAATGGGTCTCTGAATTATCGTTGCATTTAGTTATCCTTGCTGTTTGCCTTTTGCCTTCTGGGGTATTCGAACCTACGTAACTGTTGGCTCTTGTTCTTTCTTGTGCCTTGTTCATGAATTTTTAAGTGACAAACCAATGAAAAGAGCGCTCTCTTGCTGTGGAAGAAGTGTTAATTGTCTGCCCTAGTGCTCCCTGGCCTTTCACCGGGGTTCTGCTCTCCTCTGTTGAGTTCAGTTAGTGCTCCGTGCTGGCCACTGGTTGTCAATCACAAGTCATTTGCTCTGCATTAATGAATCTGGTGAACCGTGCATTCCATCCCCTGCATGAGTTCATCCCCCGCCCCCCACTGCAGGACCTGGGATGGTTCTCATGTGTTCTTCCCCTTCCAGACTAAGCCAAAGAAGGAGCTGAAACAAGGGACCATCCTTTCTGATTTTATTCATATGTGAGTGCCTTGAGCAGATTCAAATCACTCATTTATCAATTTATGTTAATTGCTTGTGAGATGATGCCCTGCTGGTCTTTATAGTTCCCTCAGACACTTTGTAATGATAATTAGACATGCTGCTGTACGGATTAAGAGTGCCATAGTCCAATGACGGCCACAGACAATGGAACCAGTTAATCCATCAGAGCTTAAAATTACATCCCAACTGGAGATGGAGAAAAAACATAAGAGCCAAGGAGGATTAAAGAACGAGCCTCAGCTTGAAAACTCTCCTTTCATCGGTTTCTCAATTGCAGATCTGCAGTTGGGTTGTCTGTGGTAAGCTATTGGCAGTCAATTAGGTGAAATAAACTAGGAGGGTGACCTTCATTTCCTTTTAATAGCTTTTTCCTCCCTGAAATGGGGAGCTTCAGTGGATTTTCAGCTTAAATTTTATTCAAGCTGCTTTATTACACTTGACAGCTTAGCTCTGCATAAACAATTCTCCCTCCTCTTCCCCCCAGATCCAGGCACTGCCTTCCCCCTCCTTCAGTATCACATTTTTGACTGTTACTTAGTGGGCTCTCTAATCACATTCAACAAAAAACACAATTACATCTGCATTTGTCTGCTGCCTTCTGTACCCTTTTCTTGTGTAATGAATTGCTTTATTTCAGAGATCAAATCAAATATTCACTGGTACTTTCGCATGTACTGTGTTTGATTAGCAAAGACTAATAGTGAATTGTACTTGTAGCTCAAGCACAGAATTTTTTCACCCAAATGAATGAAGATGGAAAAGCCTGTTTTGATTAAAGGAAAACATATGCAAAGCAGTTCTCAAGTACCCAGTTAAACTTTGTGGAACATGTTTGTTTTCTGATAGACTCTAAATTTCGACATATAATTTCTTGATGGTAAAACTCCTTTTACATTCTGAAAGGCACCGCCCAGCTCTCGTGAATCTCCTTCGCACCTACACTTTAGGAAGGAGGAAATCGTATTAACCAGATGTTCATAGGTAATACCCAGTTTGAGCTGAATCGGAGAATAAAAATAGCAGATCTTTTTCGAAGGGCAAATGAATTTCTAATTTTACAAATGGCTTTAGTCCAGGAAAAATGTTGTGGAGATTATTATAAAGGCAGGTTAGCTCTGGGTGCCTTGGCAACAATAAACCAAAGTGGTGAATCAGGCGCGATGCAAACGAGACTTACGCCCATTCCGTGTCTTGGGCATACTGGCATGTGCGGTTTTTATCATTGTAATTTTTGGATTAGTATATGAATTTATGTCAGAAGGCTCTTTTCAAGTTTGTAGTGATCAATAATTATCCCACACCTTTAAGTTTCATGCTGTGGCATATGCTTGATTTTTGCTTGAAAGGAATTGTGTGCGTCCTGGAAAATCGAAGTAGCATAAAATTGGGTTGACAATTCAGTGGACCTTTGCACCCCTTCATTGAACATGCAGTGTGTCAACCTGTCTCCCCAGAGGGGAGGAGGTACCGGGAGACTGTCTGTTCCTACAAGCAGCAGCTGCACAGAGTAAATGCAGCCTGGTTTGATAGCAGCTGTCAGTATTGTTCAGGGGCCGACTTAGGGTAAAGAACAATGGGAGAGGCCACGCTCTTAGTCTGCATCCACTTTCAGGCTAAGAAAAGAAATAGTAATTTAACGGTTTAGACATCTATTACAAGTGTGAAAGATCATGAAAGAGTACCCTTTAAAATGCAAATGAGCCGAAACATTCTCATTCCCTTTAAGGTACAATCAAGGAGCTTGACTGCTTGCTTGACAGGGCTAAAGATATTTCTCCTTATCAAACCTGGAAAAAGTAAATCTTCTCAAGGACATCCACCTTCTAGGTTAGTTCGAGGTGTGTCTTGGGCCTGCAGGTGCTCTTTGAGGAGGCAGAGAGAGGTTATATTTTGTCTGTGCTTGTTGAGGGAATTAGCAGAGTCCCCATTTCTCACCAGCATAGAAATTGTAGTTCTCCTGTCTGGCAGAAAATACTGAATTTTAATTCTTTCTCACCCTAGCACCTGCCTTCAACTTTCATAGAGTATCGGTATTTAAGAAAAATAAGCTTCTTAGATATTTGATACTGGAGAGACTATTGAAATATTTCTGTAGAACTTTTTTTAAACAGCTTTGACAGCAAATCTGGTGACTGGCAGAATAATAACCACGGTCCTACTTTTTGAATTTTGCTTCTTACCAATTCTTTTGCTATTAAATGTGTTGTAGTCTTGTTACAATGAAAAGGCTAATTTATAGTGCAAAGGTGTACAAAATTTGTACAAGGTTTATTTGGTTTGACACATAGCTCACTTAGGCCTTAGCAAACAAGTCGCATTGTGAGAAGGGAACTTACTCATTTGAGACCTTGAGTTTTTAGATCAAGATCGTTGTTACACCATAAGCAACATTTTTGTTTGTTTTTTAAAATTTATATTAAGAATGGTCAAAACAAAATTGGTTATTAAACGTTGTAACATCTTATTTGTGGAATGGCTAATGGCTGCCTGAATGCAGGGCGAATTGATTGAAAGACTCTTCAAGACCACTTCTCCACTTTATTATTTGGGGAATTTGGAACTAAAAGCTCTCTTCTACCTGCTCTGATAGGCACTGAATAATTGATTTCAGTTGGGATTGGGATTTCAAATAATTAATGTTCTCTTTGTATCACAGATAATCGAGGGATAATATAGAGAGATACATGTCTGTACACACATAGATTTGTTTTTTCCAGTTGATGTCTAATTGTAATATAGTGAAACGCACAGCTTGATTTTTGACACCTATGTATACCTGGTAACCCACATTCCACAGTAAGGGAGTGGTTTCCAGAACCCCAGTGGATTCCATTATTCTTATCAGTTTTTCCCCTTCTCCTAAAGAGAGATAGTTGCTTTTTTTTTTTTTTTTTTTTCTTTCTTTCTTTCTTTTGGCATGTGAAAGAAGAGCTAAAGATGTTTGGGGTTTTTTTTGGAGACAGAGTTTTACTCTGTAACTCAGGCTGGAGTGCAGTGGATGATCTCTGCTCACTGCAACCTCTGCCTCCTAGGTTCAAGCAATTCTTCTGCCTCAGCCTCCTGAGTAGCTGGGATTACAGGCATGCGCCGCCAAACCCAGCTGATTTTTGTATTTTTAGTAGAGACAGGGTTTCACCATGTTGGCCAGGCTGGTCTTGAACTCCCAAACTCAGGTGATCCACCTGCCTCAGCCCCCTAAAGTGTTGGGATTACAGGTATGGCCCCCGTACCTGGCCATAAAGATGGTGGTTTTTTTAACTGAAAAGTTAAAAAAGAATCAATTACATTTTAAAGAATATTAATAGTAAACAATGGCACAGTTGTATGTTTTATTTCTAACCACCTGTTGTTCCATTTCATGGTGTTTTTGGTAATCCACATAAGAATATTTACATTGTGTTGCCTTGAACAAAGCATGGGCCTTGGGATCAGATGGACTTGGGGAGGATGCTTAGCTGCCGTCTGTTAGCTTTATGACCTCATATAGTCAGTTAACCTCTACAATGTCCCCCATCCGTGGATGGTAATACCGTCTCTACCTTCCGTGCTTTTGTGGGGATAAGACCCTGGCTGGCAGTCTTCAGTGAACATGTGATCCTGACCCCTTGAACTGCAGTTTTGTCTGCCTGGTTTTCCTAAGTGCTTGTAGCAGATCCGTAGGTCCAGTTGGCCAAGCCCTGGTCGGGGGTGGTTGTGCCAAGCAGCAGTTCACCCTTTTGTCTTCTTTAGTGGTTACAGGGATGTGGGTGTTTGAGATTGGACCCAGCCAGATGCTCTGCTCCTGCCATTAAGTTGTTGGGCATGAATGACAGGGACACAATAGTGAAAAAGGACGGCCATTTAGCTTTTGATGTACAAACTTAGAAGTTCAAAACCACAAGAAAAAAGTTAAGTTTGGGGAACAGATGGAGACAGAATTGAGAGCAAAAATGTAAAGACATCATTGGCTTCCTTACCTAACATGAAGAAGGCGGCAGACAGTGCCATTGGTGACACAGAGAGGTTATAGGAATCATTCTGATAAAGTAGGGAGGGAAGAGAGT